GTATACAAAAAGCCGAAAAAAAAAATTCGGAAAAGTGGATTTCCTACCAAGTTACATCCTCTCAAAGTTGCAAGACTTGCCAGGTTGCAGCTTGACATGGTAACTTCGTAGACTTGTAAATTAGCATTTTTTTAATAGAATTTAATGGTTCATCTAGTGAACTATACTATGCAGAAACAAATTTCCTTTTTCTTCATTACTTATTCTGAAGTACATATACAAGTAAGCACTGAGAATTTTTACTTCACTTTAACGATGTTAAAAAATTATCACACTGCAGTGTTGTAGGAGTTAGCCTTCACTCCAACGTTTTATGCGTCTCGTGTTTTATTCTTTCAAAATTGTGTCGCTAGAATATGTTTTGGCGTCGCAAAGAAGTCTAAGAATTCACTGCTTTACCAGGCTGGCTGTCGGATTAAAGTTTTTCTTAAAACTTTCTATGTTTCTGGAGAACTACAGCGCGTAATTCCAGAGAAGAACTACAAATCGAGTTTCTGTTTGCTTGTGCAACAAAAACTAACGATTACAAGAAGGAAACAGTTCTAAGAGCTCAGAAACTACGAAATACAAAAAGTAGCAAACGCTGGAGTAAGGGTTACCTCTTAAAACTCTGCAGAATAATTTGTTAATATTATTGAAGTTAAGTACTATTTTTGTAATGGAACTTCAACGTTTACAGCATACCAGATTTTTGCAACCGTTCTGTCTAGTTTTTGTAGGAGGTTTAGAATTATTTCGCCACTATAAAATGCGTGGGATTACTGTAACAACGATAAGTTTTTTTCAGTTTTACATTCCGTTCCGGTTCATAGCTCTCGATACCGAAAAATCGCCATTTCAAAATTTTGAAATATTGTAGAGCAAAAAATTTTACGCAAGATGTGTCTTTTTTGAGAAATTTGAATGTTCGTTTTTGTTAATATTCGTTTGAAATCTTATTTCTACTGTATTTATGTAATTTTCTGTCAGAATTAAAGTAATAAATAAACACTTATAAGTTTAGAACATGGCAAATCTAATGAACGATTAAATTTTAGTGAAAACAGGCTAATTTACGAGTCTGCATAGGTAGGCATTTCAATCGACAACCTGGTAAATTTTGCAAGGGGGTGTAGCTTGGCAGGGAATTCACTTCTCCAGTTTTTTTTTTTTTTTTTTTTTTTTTTT